GCAGGGGGTGGCTGGCCAGGGGAGTGGAGGCCACCTCTGCAGACCTGTGTCTTCCCCGAGATGAGCGGAAGCTGCTCCTGCCAGTTAACTCCTATGGCTCCCAGCCTCTCCCTCCAGGAAGCCTCCCTGTCCCTGCCAGCTGGGCAGGGGCCTTCCCTTGCCCCCCAGGCCTCCTGCACTCCCCTCCTGTCCAGCACTTTGCCAGTGTGGAGGCCCTGAAGGCTTATCAGGCCCTCACTCTGGGTCAGGCAGTGTGACACGTGCTCTTTGGAGTCCTCTCATGGAATCCTCAACTCTAGAGGTGGGTCCAGGTAATACCATGGTTTTGTTGAAGAAGAAACTGAGGTTCTGAGAAGTTCAGTCATTTCCCAGGTCACATCACACAGCCAGTGAGGATTGGTTTCCTCCTGTGCTTGTTGAGTAGCTGACCACCCTGACCCACCAAATTTAGAAATATGAGGAATGCGAGCTGGGGCTGTAGCTCAGTGGTAGATCACTTGCCTTGCATGGGTGAGGCCCTGGGTTTGATCCTCAGCACTACACAAAAATAAATAAAAATAAAGATATTGTGTTCATCTACAACTAAAATTAAAAAAAAAAAAAAAAGTATGAGGGCTGGGGATGTGGCTCAAGCGGTAGCGTGCTCACCTGGCATGCGTGCGGCCCAGGTTCGATCCTCAGCACCACATACAAAGAGGTTGTGCCCGCTGAAAATTAAAAAATAAATATTAAAAAATTCTCTCTCTCTCTCTCTCTTTAAAAAAAAAAAGTATGAGGAATGAACGAGTCAATAAATGAATGCTGTATCCCAAAGCCCTTGAGCAGGAAGGGGCTCTGCCCTTCTGGGAAAAGGGCATTTGGAGATCTAACATTTTCTGGATGTTTGTTTATACACCGGGCACCATGCCTCAGCATGTTTATGACATTTAATCCTCAACCCGTGTGGCTGGCCCTACTAATTATGTCCATTTTGTTGATGAGGAAAACAAGGCTCAAAGAGAATATCGCTTGCCCAAGGCCCCAGAGCCAGTGGAGGGAAGAGCGGAGATTGGGAGAAGGTATGGTGCAGGGGATGTGGGTTGGCACCCAAGGTCCCCTCACCAGGCCCTGAGGGAGCTGAGGCACATGATGTTCTGAGCTGAGGGACTCCCCATGGCCCAGAGCAGTGGGATTTTTTTGTTTGTTCAATTGATTTTATTGTTATTTTTATTGGTTCCTGGAATTGAACCAGGGGCATTTACTACTGAGCTACACTCCCACCCTCACCCCTTTTCATTTTAGATTTTGAGACAGGGTCTCACTGAATTGCTAAGGCTGGCCTCCAACTTGTGATCTGTCTGCATCAACCTCCTGAATTCCTGGGATGACAGGGGTGTGCCACCACTCCTGGCTGCACATCTCTCTTTACTTCTCTCTCTCAGATGTTTGGGGGCTTTTACAACAAACCTCAGAAGTTCCAGACTCCCTCCAGAAGAACAGGGCCACTCCCTAGTGTTAAACAATGTTGTTTTCAGGTTTGATTTTCTTGGCCTCTGAGAAGCACCATGATTTTTTGTATTTAAAGGGATACAAAAAAATCACTCCACTAGCACTTCAAGTGTTTATTCTCTCAGCATCTCCATGTCTAGAAATTCATTTTGTGGGTACAAACACATAAATGTGAAAATACAGACACACTTTCAGACCAGGGTCATTTCAGCATAATTCATAACTCTAAGAATTGAAAACAATGTTGATTTCCATCTGTAGAGGGGGGATCAGGGAGCTAATCTATGGCACAGGCATGTTAAATGGGTGCAGCTCTCAAAATGGATAAATTAGTATCTGTACGTGCCACTGTCCTGTGAGTGTGTTTATAATGTACTGTTAAATAGAAAACAAAGTTGCAGAATAGTAGTGGCAGTTTTAAAAACAACTGTAATTTAATTAGGTGCAAATACAAATATTAGTATGCATGTGAGTGGGGGAAACCAACTTGGAATGGAACCACCATTTGACTCAGCTATCCCACTCCTCAGTTTATACCCAAAGAACTTAAAAACAGCATACTACAGGGACACAGCCACCTCAATGTTTATAGAAGCACAATTCACAATAGCTAAACTGTGGAACTAACCTAGATGCCCTTCAGTAGATGAATGGATAAAAAAATATGTGGCATATATACACATTGGAATATTACTCAGCAATAAAAGAGAATAAAATCATGGCATTTGTAGGTAAATGGATGGAGTTGGAGAATATTATGCTAAGTAAGCCAATCCCCAAAAAACAAATGGTGAATGTTTTCTCTGATACGAGGATGCTGATGCATAATGGGTATGTTGGAGGGAGCATGGGAGAAATGGAGGAACGTTAAATAGGGTAAAGTGGAGGGAGAGGAAGGGAGGGGACAGGGGTGTAGGAAAGATGGTGGAATGAGATGGATATCATTACCCTAACTAAGTACATGTATGAAGACATAAATGATATGACTCTACTTTTTGTGTACAATCAGAGACATGAAAAAATATACTCTACATGTGTACTATGAATTAAAATGCACTCTGCTGTCATATATAATGAATTAGAATAAATAAATTTTTAAAAATAGGAAAAACTGAAAATAAAAAGAAAAATGAAAACTAAACTCTTAGCAGTTTTAACAGAATTTCCATAACATAAATTCCTACACAGAGTCTCTGACTAAAGAAAGAACGCATTTACAATGTTACCAGAGTCTAAAATACAAAAAACACAAAGGAAAGTGTTTTGTGTTACCTACTCTGCTAATGGGTTTGGGGCATGTGTTCTGTAGACACTGTTATAAATTCATTATTGTAAAACTAGAGAATGGACTCAGGTCACAGAGGCCTTGGAGAGACAGGGTCCTAATTCAGAGAAGGGACATTAATGGGGCTGAAGGCCCCTCCTGGGCTGCAGCTCAGGACACAGCAGAACAAACTCTTTCAGTCTTTCCCTCTTTTTCCAGGAAGAAGGACCCAGGCGGACAGTGGGTGGTGGAAGCAATGTGTAGTCCAAGTGGCTCATCTGTCTGGGAGGAAAATTCCAGCTCGCCCATCTCCCCTGGGAAGGACCAGGCAGGGGCTGACCCAGGTCACCTCAGCCCCCTGCACCTGCTCTGCACAGGGCCCTCTCCCAATCTTTGTTTTCTTATTTTCACCCAGCCCTCAATTCACCCGGCTCTTCTCTCTCAAACAGGCTTTCCTTTAGGGACATATGGTACCAGAAAGGTATGAGTCAGGAGTCAGGATTTGGAGCCCAGCTTCTCAGATCCCTGGCTCTGCCCCCTTGGGTGGGCGCCTTAGCTCCCTGAGATTCAATCTACAAGGCAACCAGGCCCAGGCTCCCTCCCTACCCAGACACACTGTCCAAATGATCCTGGGCAAGTCGTTTTGCAATCTCCTCTCTCATCTGTACCTGTACTAGGTTCCTGGGACTGATGAGGGGGAAATAAGAAAAATGAATGAAGCACAGACAGCCCCCGAGCACCACCTAGTGGCTGATGGCAGCCAGACTTTCATCCTGCCTCCTCTCTGTGGCCCTGTTTTTTTCCATTAACCACAAGGGAACTGGGCTCTGATGTGGTGTGACCCACCCAAGGTCCCAGGAGGAGCAGGCTGAGATGGGGCCTGGAGTCTCCTGACCTGCAAACAGGCTTCCCCAAGAGCAGAGACAATCCCTTCTGGAATGTGGGTTATTTACTCTTTCTAGGGTGGATCCAGGTTTTGCCTTAATCAACTACTGCCACAGCCAGGAGAGAAGAGGTCCTGAGTTCTGGGTACGCTGTAGAGCCAGGACCCCAGGGGTGGGGGCTTGGTATGTCCAGGCCCTCGCTGGTCGGGTTTCCCTGACACGACTCAGCTGCCCCTGAGTTGGCTGCAGGGATGTGAGTCAGAGCTAGCCACAGTCCTGTCCTCTGCCCACTTGCAACCACAGCCACAACCACAGTCTACTGGAGACAGTCCAGGGAGACCTGCAGCTCCAAAACAAGGCACCCTTCCCCCAGGTCCAAGCAGAGATGCCCATCCCTCTGCTCAGAGACAGGGGACGCTGGCCTGAGGACACAGTGTAGAAATGATGGGCCTCAAGCTAAAACCAAGTTCCATCTCAAGGGATCCTCTCAAGCAGTACAGGTGGAAGGCAAGGGACCGCTGTCCTGGCCTGGGACCCTTGCGTCTGCCCTCTGCCCCAGTGGCTCTGTTGCCCTGGTACTGTGCAGCCAGTGGCTAATAGGCACAACTACACAGAGGAGCTGATGGCCAGTGCTGGGGTGGCCAGAGGGACCAGGACGCCCCCCTCATGCCAGCCCCACAGCCACTGAGGTACTGCATCAGTGAGGCTCTGCAGCCTGTGGTCTGTGCCCCACTGTCCCGCCTGGCTAGACTCTGCCTCAGAGCCACAGCGTGGTGCCCCATGCCGTCCCCTGGCCTCTCCCTAGCCACACTCTCCTTCCTTCCTCTCTCCTCTTCCTCTTCTCTCTCCCCTACCTTCTTCCTATTCCTGTCTGCGGCCCTTGTATGCTCTGTCTGCCTTGCTCCTGCCTGGGTCCCAACCATGACTCACCCAGACCTGGAATCCGGGCTCTGCCGATGCCCTTCACCAGCCACAGGAGCCTCATCAGGCCCACGGGCAGAGTGCAGGGGGGCAGACAGTGCCCCAGCTTAATAGCCAAAGCCAAAGCACATGGTGGGGGAAGGGGGAGCAGGAAGGGCTTGGGCTCCCCAGTGCTGGAACCTCTGAGCAGGCCTGTGGGCTCCAAGTTCTCCTACCCAGCCTTGCTCAGGCACAACAGAGGAAGAGGAGCCTCCTCAGCTCATATTGAGAAACCAAGTCCAAGGTCAAGGTCACCCAGCCACTAGGAAGGAGTGGGAGAAATGAAAATCCCTTTTTGAGAAGAGGGAAAGGAGACCAAAGCCGAAGGGATCTGTCGGGATGCGCTCTGACTGCCGCTCACTCCATACCCACACCCAAACACAAGTGAGACCAGAGTCAGTGAGTGGAAGCACCCGGTTTAATATTAAAATCTTTCCCTTAAAAAAAAAGTACACAGATAGGAAAACTGAACAGCATACAAAATAACACTTTGATGTATACATGTGAGTTAATGTGAGTCCTAAAAAATACTTGTAAACGTAGGTGATTATATCTTTGGTACCGTAGCGAAGACTGACTCCCCCTCTCTCCTTGGGGAGTCTCTGGGGCCCTCGGGTTGGGAGACACCAACTAGCTTGGTGACTGTGTCCAGGAGGGCTGACCTCGCCTTATCCCCTGGCCAGCCCTCCCCCTCCTGGGCGAAGTGACCATATCCCTCACTGCCCTGTAATGGCCAATGCCCACTGGTTTCAGGACAGTGAGGTATCACCTGGGCAGTGACAAGACCCTACTCCACCAGGTACTCCCTCCAGGATGGGGCAGCCGGCAGTTAAGGAGGAAACCTCCAAAGTGCCCACCTCTTGTGCCCCTTTCCTGGGGTGCACGTCCTGAGGCTCTTGTTCTTCATGGGACACAACCGTCCTTACTGTCCATTCTGTCTGTTGCAAATACCTTGGGGGCACTGTTGGGCTGCATGAGGTAATGACCTCCCTCCCTGCCCCCTTGCCCAGGATATCTCCAGAGTTCATCGTGGGTCCTCAAGGGGGTCTTGTGGTCCTCCTGTGTCCCTGGAGCAGCTGCTGGGGCTTTCCAGGGTACTCCAAGCCAAGGTCATCACAGCTGCATTTGGGGCAGAGGAAGGGTCACGTACCTGAATGTCCAGACTGTGATATGTCATTTGGAATCTCCCCAGAGGCCAGCAGCCCCCCAACTAGGAAGTTTAGGGTACTTGACCTTGCTTCATCTGGACAAGCATGCAAACCACAGGAATATTCTAGAATATTAGTGTTGACAGGGCACTCAGAGTGAATGAGTCCAACTTGCTCACTCTTCAAAGGGGAAAATGGGCCCAGAGAGGGCAAGGGATTCCTCCAAGGTCACAGCAGGTTCAATGCAGAGTCAGGGCCACCTACTGGTGTACACATGTGGACATAATGCTGGCACATCAACACATTTGTTTCAGATGTAGGATCCGCTGGGCCTGTAACCAGGGACGATGAGAAAAAGCCTCAGAACACAAGGGGCCTGGAAGATATGGGCACTGTCCACAGCCAGTGTGCCCCGAGTGCCCTGGGCTGGGTCTGCAGGCTGGGGAGTGCTGTACTTGGTTCAGTCCCAGCAATAATTACAGCATTAATTAAGCATGGCTGGCCCAGACCTGCTCGGGCCTGGGAAAGCAGAGACTAGTGTCAGGGGAGGTGGCTTCAGAGCGAAGCAACACTGGCCAGGGCAGGCCCAGCTCAGCCAGGAGCCAGGGGTGCCGGGGTTTCTTCCCCAGCTCCTGGGCAGATGGAAGTGTGGGGACAAGCCTGCGACTCCTTGAGGGGCAGTTGGCTGAACAGAGCGAGGTTACTAACTACGCCATTCCCCCAGGAAGCTCCCCCAGATTCCAGCCTCCCCAGTTGTCAGCCAGGGAGACTCCCAGGTAGACTGTGAACTACCAAGTTCAATGTCTCATCTTGTGCATTGGGAAACTGGGTCCCCTGGGAGGGACCGTGGCTCAGTCACATGGCCTCCCTGAGGCAGAGGCTGGGCATGGTCCTGCAGTTCTCTGGCCTCCTGAGCCAGCCCCAGGGCTTGGGGAGCAGTGTGGCAGGGACAGAAGCCTTCCACATGGGACAGCTGGCAGGAGCAGCATGGCTCACAGGATGCCAGGCCCGGGGGCTGTGGCCTGGTGGCAGAAGGGGAGCTTCTCGTGGCACAGAGTGGGGTCCAGCCCCTACAGAAAGCTGTCCTCTGCTTCGGCCCGAGGCCCAGGGCAGCCTGCATCCATTGGTGGCTCCAGCTCCATCTGGGAGTCCCCCTGGGGCTGGGGCAGGGGTTCTGGCTCTGGTTCTTCCTGGGGGTCGAGAGGACTGTCACAGGAGATGGTAGAGGAGGTGTTGGCTTCATTCAGGGTGGAGCTGGAGGAAGAAGGCAAGTGGGTGAGGGCTGGGCCACAGCAGGCGCTGAGGGACTCCTTGAACCCAGCTTTGCACACTTCTGCTCGTTGAATCCTTTAAAGACCCCATAAGGCCTGAGCCAGGAGACAAGCGCAGCTCAGAGAGGTCATGTCATTGCCCTACCTCACACCGTGGGCGTGTGCAGGGGCTGGGATGTTGGAGCAGGCCAAGCTGGCCCCACACTTCAATTCCCATTCCCAGCATCTCCATCCTCTATATTCTGAGACATTATCTCACTTAATCCTCATGGCAAGACCCTAAGAGAAAGACTTTCACTGTTTTTATTTAATAGAAGAGGAAACTGAGGTTCAGAGAGGTGTAGCAGCTGTCCAAGGGCATAAAACAGGGCCAGCATTCACACGGCAAGCTGTTAGAACTCTGGGCTGAATCCTATCCTGTCTACCCAGGTCTTAGAATGTTAGTCTCATTGACAGAAGGAAAAGGGCCTTCAGGGTCCCCAGGGGCCTGTGTGCACTGTCAGCACATGTGGAGAAACTGAGGGTCACAGGGACAAAGCCTGCCCAGGGCTTATGGTGGCAGAGTTGGAGTTAGAACCCAGCCTAGGACTCCTGCCACCTCCCCTGGGGCTGGATCTTGTTTGGGGTGGGTGGCTCTGGCCTCCAGGGAGCCCTCTCTCTAGCTGAGGCAGGTGATCTCTGAACATCAAGTAGAGACTCCAGTGGACCTCCCTCCAAAGCCCTCCCTGGACTTAAACCCCACCCCAAGACAGAAGAGCACATGAGTCTCCTTCCCAGTCTGCATTCTGAGTTGACCTTGGGCCACCTCTGCCTCCTACAGCCAGGCTGCCGGGCCCCCTGGGCACAGTGCTAAGCATGGAGCACAGCCTAAGGCTGGCTGGGACCCCACAGGTGGTCACTCCTCAGCATGCTGGGGACATTCAGTAGGTTCCCTCCTTCCCCGTGGGGCTAGGACAGGGCCTAGAGAGGGCAACTGTGGGATTCCCCTCAAGGAAGGAGCTCTCTTTCAGATAGCCCCGCCCATCCTTTTTCTATGCAGCCTGCCCCTCCCACCTGAGGGCTCAAAGGTCAAGAGAGCCCCATTCTGCCCTCTGTTCACCTGTAGGAATAAGTCTTCACCCCAGGGAACCGGCTGCTGGGTCAAGCCTGACGCAGACACACCCACACTCTGTGCACCCTGTAGCCCCAGGTCCCAGCCAGGGTGGCTACCTGGCGAGGCTGGGGGAACCCTCCAGCAGACCCTCATCAGCAGCCTCTGGTTTGGGGTCAGGCAGGGGGATGATATAGTCGTTGTCACCCTCGCTGGGCTGCACGGCAGTGTAGAGGACAGAGCTGGTGTCCAGGGGAGATCGGAGGCTGTGGAATCCAGGGAAGCGGGCTTGGGACCTCAGGATGGCTGGGTGGTCACTCCTCAGAAACTCCTCGTCCACCTGCTGGTACTTCTGCTCCGTCGGGGGGAGGAGCATAAGAGGGGCATAAATGGTCAGATGGGACACGCCCAGGCAGATCTGACCCAGCCTCTCCTACCTTGAGTAGGGAAGGCAGAGGGTGCTCAGAGAGTGACCAATGCCACACAGCTGAGCTGCCTCCCACCTGGCATCTATCAAGACCAGGTGGGGTCAGGAGCACCCATAGAGTGGCACTGATGGAACCAGCACCCCAACCCTCACTTGCCCTCACCTGGAGGAGGCAGTTCCTGCTCTCATTCCAACTTGACCCCCCACTGGGGCCTTGGTGTCCCTTTCTATGAGATAATGACAACTCCTTGCCATCTCAGTCACCCCAGGACAACCCCAAGGGGATGAGAAGTGGAGCTGAGGACAAGGCTGTGCCTGTGCCAAAGAGATGTGCCTCCCCTGTCACTAGGAGAGGCAGGGGTTAGGCCCCCAGGAGGCCCCATTTGTCTCTGAGCAGCCTACAGCAGGGTCTGAGGGCTTGGGTTTGGAAGCCATGTGGCCTGGGTTGTTCACACCTCTGAAGGAGCCCCAGAAATGGGCACGGGGGCAGAGGTCGTAGCCTCTCCTAAGGGTGTCACCAGTCAGTGTCCCTTCTTGGAGCTGCTGGAATAGACTCAGCTCCGCCCACCCCGTCCTGGGATCAGCAGAGAAACTGAGGCCCAGAGCAGAGGAAGGCTGTACCCCAAATTCCAGCACAGCACTCCGAGCCCGGGACCCAGGGTCTGAACTGATGGAGTGCTGTGCCCCACCCCCACCCTACTCCACATACCTTTCTGTAGCCCTCGCCAAGCAGCCTCTCAAGGAGCAGCACCAGCTGGGAGAAGGGGGGCCGAACCTCAAACTTCTCTTCCCAGCACTTCTGCATGATCTCGTAGCTGGGGAGGGGCAGAGAGGGTCAGGCCCCCTGGCTCTGGTGCGGTGGGGCGGTGCTGGGAGCTGGAGCCACCGCCTCTCAGAATAAGAGGAGCAGGGACCAGGGTGTCGGGAGACGTGGCAGCCAGCACCACCCACCACTGGCTCTGTGGGGTGGCCACCCGTGGGGAGCACGTGGCCCAGGTGCAGCCCAGAGGGGTTTCATCCTCTCTGGTCAGAGGCGGGTTCTGATGGCATACGACCCCAGCTGAGCCACAGAGGTCAGCTCTGGGGCTTTGGCAGTGCAAGTCATCGGCTGGCACTGTGGCAGCCATGTGGGCAGTGCCAGCCTGAGAGTGAGGCTGGCCCAGAGACAAGAGAGCCCAGGGCAGAAGGGATTCCTGAGCACACAAACACCCAGAGCCAGGTGTAGCTAGACTTTTCTGGATCTCTGAGCTGAGAACTCTCTTTGGCTGAAGCTGGTAGAGCTACATGTCCACTGTCTCATCCAGGAAATCCCCCCCAGGGCACGAGGCTCCACTCACATCTCAGCAGAGGCGTGAGCCGGCTGCGCCATGCGGTAACCACGCTTGATGGCATTGTAGAACTGCTCGTTCATGGGCAGCTCCGGGTAAGGGGTGCCACCTGTGGAGAAGACAGGGATACACAGGCTCAGGGTGTGACACGGAGCAGGGTGCCCTCTTCTACAGCACAAGGACAGCAGGCTGGTCCTGGTGGAGGAGGGTGCAGTGTCCTTGGCATTGGGAAATGGAGGTCCTTCCTGGGCTCCTAGGAGACACAGCACTCCTCAGGACAGAGAGCCAGGGAACACCAGAGCCAAGCAGGCTCCCGTTGATCCTCGGGTAGAGGGGTAAAGAGATCTAGAGACGGCAAGGGTCTTGCCAGAGCAGCACAGTGGGAGAAAGGAGCAGAGTACTCGCCACAGGTCCCCTGACCCATGTCCCAACACCCTGCCACAGCCCCACCAGATGGGAGGTGGAGGGAAGGGAATGCTGTGCCCCTGAGGGAGCAAGAGGCAGCGCACCCAATGTGAAGATCTCCCAGAGCAGGATCCCAAAGGACCACACATCGCTCAGGGTGGTGTAGAGGCTGTTGAAGATGCTCTCCGGGGCCATCCACTTCAGAGGCAGGAAGGTCTGTGGGGGCAGGAGCAGCGCTGAGTGCCCAGAGGGGCCAGTGGCCAGTTCCCAGCCCACTCTGCACCTGGACGCGAGGAGGTCCAGCAGCTCCACTGCCAGCTGCTTCCCCCTCCTCCTCCAGGGTCTGCACAGCTCCCATGCCCACCCTATTCCTGGCCACAGCAGCAGGGAGTCTTCTCTCCTCATTAGCTAAGGACACAGCAGCCCCTGTCCCTGGGGAAAAGCCCTGGGTCTAAGAAGAGGGGTGGAGGGACAAGGTACATTCCAAGCCACCTCCCGGTTTTCATCCTGGCTACCTTTGGTCCCTGGGCTCTAGAGCCCCCCCCCTCTGGGGTTCACAGGAAGCAGGAAGATGGGTGGGAAGCAGGATGGTCACATTTTATCCAAGCCAATCCCACTACTGCCTGTGAGCATCTGTTTTACCATGTCACTTGGGTTTCTTCCTCTGCCCATCACTCCTGGGACAACAGATTTGATCTGCACACCCTCTTCCTGCCCATCCCTGGCCACTGCAGCTGGTCCCTCAGCCCCAGCTGTGACGAGTGGACCTGGGATTATTTGCCTTTTCCTAGTCCAGGCGCAGCTAGTGGCTCCCTCTCTTGTCCTTGTGCACACAGTTGGCAGGCACTGACCATCTAACTGAGCAGGACCAGCCATGAGGAGCCCTGTGCTGAGCTCCTAAGCATTAAAGCCATGCTGGTCAGGAGGGAACCTGATCCTGGCGTCAGAGTGCATGGTCACCATCCCCAGGGCCTGGTAGGTACTCACACTGCCTTTGGAGATGTAGTTTGAGTCCCGCATGATATCTCGAGCCAGGCCAAAGTCACAGATCTTGACCAGCTTGCCCTCACAGATGAGCACATTCCTGGCTGCCAGGTCCCGATGAACACACTGGGTCAGGGAAGAGAGCAGAGGACACCTTAGGAGAATTGTGGGAAGCCCTCCGTGGTGAGAGTGTGGGGAAAATGTCCAGGTGGGGGGTCCTCAGTCTTCCCACCCCCAAAGGAGAGGTAGTTGTTTTTTGGAGGACTCTGGCCGTCTGGAGGACCCACAGCCCCACCCTGCCCCATGATGACCACACCTACATTCTTAGAGGCCAGGAACTCCATGCCATTGGCCACCTGGTAGCTGAAGCCCACAAGGTCTGTGTAGCTAAGCACTGGGGACTCGTTGATCAAAGTGGCCCGACAAGTCCTCTCAGGAGCTGGGGGAGAGCAGAGAGTCACAGGTCATCTCATGTACCCCAGTGGCCCAGAGGACCCTGTCTTTTGGCTTGTGGGGCTGAATGTCCAAGGCAGGTGGCTCCGGATCTTCTAGGTCTCTCCTGAAAGGATGGTTCTTCATGTCTAGCCTAAACCTCTCCTACATCACCAGTGTCCTCAACGGCCAGAAAAAAAGTTTAGGCTGGGTATGGTGGTACACGCCTGTAATCCCATTTTTTGGGAGGCCGAGGCAGGAAAATCACAAGTTCAAAGGCAGTCTCAGCAACTTAGCAAGACCCTCAGAAAATTATTGAGACCCTGTCCCAAAACCAAAAAAGACCCCCAAAACTAGGAATATAGGTAGAGAGCCCCTAGGTTCAATCTCCAGTACTACCAAATAACTGAAAAAAGGTTTAGCCCTGTTTCTTAGGAACATTAGACCAGCCTGGGGCCAGTTCAAAGCTGATCACTTTTCTGCAGGTTGCAGGAGGTGTGCCCAACCCCACCCGAGCTCTAACTCTCCCTGAGAGCTGTGTTCATGCCTCTAGACCCATAAACAGGGCTTCATATTGAGGGCCCCCTATACAGCAGCTTTGGGCAGGGGGCCAAGCTCAATTTCCACATCTATGAAATGGGCACAAGGCCATCGTGCTCCAGGACTGCTGCAAGGCTGGGAGTGTGAAGGGCTTTGTAAAGAATGTATCTCTGCATGAGTGTGAGCCTGGGCAGGTCTGAGCACACTGCATCCACCTACCAGAGGGGACGTAGTTATCATAAGGGGCCATGTAGTTGGAGGATTCGATGTCTGCGTATTTGACGTCTCCTTTCATGTCCAGCATGGGCACGTAGTCCACTGACTCGTCCTTGCTCATGTCCATGTAGCCACCATCGCTCTCCCCAGTCAGGGACACGTGGCTGGGGAGTAAGAGGAACACAACAGGAAGGTCACTGGCTTCCTCTTTCCTTCCCCCTCGTACCCCGAGGTCACCCTGGGGACCCCTGAGGCCCTGTCGCTCACGGATTTCTTCTTTCACTCATGCACCCCTCGCCCTTCAGTGTGTTACAACACAAGTGACCACAGATCCAGCCCCCTGACTAACCTCTGTGGCCCTGAGCTTGGTGCTGGGGCTGCCACGGTGACATAAGACCCAGTAAGTGTCCTCAGAGAGATCATACCAGAAGAGATTACAATACCCAGGACAAGGGGCACAGGATGGGCGGGTGCAGAGGCCTCTTTGGGGCCTTCCTGCACACCAGCTACCCCGGCAGGTGCCAGGCCGTGACCCAAGGTGGGCAGCAGGGCATTGCCTTGATACCTCTGACTTCGACCTCGCTCCCCAAAGGGCTGTGGGCTGTTCACAGGTGTGTCTGTGTGGGCAGCCTAAAGACAGCTAGGAAACAGGTCAATGCTGGCGAGGAGGGGCAGATGCCAATGTCTCAGACACTGATCTGAGTTACCCTTGTCCTTGTCTTTGTAATCAGCAAAAGAACTGAGAACTGCTCTTTTCAGAAACATTGAAACCAAGAGTTGAGCTGCCGAGGGGCACCGGGGTGTGTGTAGAGGGAATGGGGAGACGGTGGGGGGAGCAGGGCCCACAGTGCACCTCGGGAGGCCCAACTCTCAGCCCACGATTGCCTCTGCCAACAGTGTCCCTAAGGCAGGAGACCACGACACCCTGGACACAGGGCTGTGGGGTCAGGGGTCTCAAGCACAGGGCTCGAGCACAGGGCCTGGCACACTGGGGCAGGTAGCAGGAGGCAGCAGAGCCCAGCACTATCCCCATCACTACTGGCCTTTCCTGGTCTATGGTCTATGGTCCTGACTTGAGAAAGAGTCACCAGGAGTGACTCTGCCCCCTCCCCAGGGCCCCAGCTGCCCCCTGCAGGAGCAAGGGCAAGGGGGCTGTGCAGGCGCCTGCCTCCTCCTACCTGGGCAGAGGGAGCCCCGTGGGCAGGGCGTTGCTGTAGAGCTCGGCACTGGGTGGGCGGTGCTTGTCCGAGTGGTGCTGCAGGAAGCTGTGCTTGTTGCGGTGCAGGTAGTCCACCAGGTCGCCATAGCGGCAGTACTCGGTGATGATGTAGATGGGGCCTGCAGGGGAGGGCGGTGGGCACAGGCCCCAGGGGCCCTCAGGCTTCCCGTGAGGGCCACGGGGCCAATAAACAGGCTGAATGTGGGAGAGGTCGTGGACATGACAGCTGAGGGTAGGTGCCTAGCACACCTGGGTCCTCTTCCTGCCTCCGACTGCAGGCAATAGATACTTAACCTCCCTGGGCCTCCCCTCCCCCACCTGTGAACTAACACCCCCCTCAAAGGACTGTCACAAGAACTAATGAGACCAAACATGGCACATGACAAGGACATAACTGCTATGTTTTCACACTCAAGCTTATTTTGGTATCTGGTATATGTAAAGAGGGAGAGGAAAGTGCTCTCCATTATCAGTTTACTGGTTATGTTCAAATTTAATGCTTTTACTCAAAGTCAACAAGTAGACAGTGAAGATATTGATAAAAACAAAATTTTGAAATGAGTGCCAAGCACAGTGGAGCACCCCTGTAATCCCAGCTACTCTAGAGGCTGAAGAAGGAGGATCAGGAGTTCAAGGTCCCTCTTGGCAACTTGGTGAGATCCTCAGCAACTTAGCAAAAGTCTCAAAATTTAAAAATAAATAAATAAATAAAAAGGGTTGCAGAGGAAACTCAGTGGCAAAGTGACCCTGGGTTCAATCCCCAGTACCAAAAAGAAAGAAAAAATAAAATAAAATAACTTTTGAAATGAGTGATGATTGCAGATGTGAACTGGTCTATGTGTGAAACACAGTTTTGTATTTTGATTTGATTGCACAATCCTGAGGAAAATCCCAAATCTCTCTAAAGCAGTTACAAACGACCATTTCTTCTTCTTCTTCTTCTTCTTCTTTTTTTTTTTTTTTTGCAATGAGATCTTCAAATAAACACAGTAGGGCAGAGGGACTTTCTCCTGTGATCAGAAGAAAGCAGCTCCCAGTTATCTCACTGATGGTCTTGGGGGAAGGGGTGGCAGGTAACAAGATTCTTCTCAATATAACATGAATTGTTATTTATCCCCATTTTCAAAACGTATTGTAAAAATACAAGAATGTCCAAGGTCACTTTGATTTGGAAACTCCCAGAACTGGAAGCCTGAGGAGTCCTTTGACCAGGAAGATGTGACTCTGCAGGCTCCTAAGTCCCACACCCATCTGGGACTGTGAAGGGAGAGTGCTGGGCGGGAGGGTGTGGCGCCCCATTGCAGTGTCCTGCTATCCACAGGTGAAGCAGGAGTCGGGGCATCCTGGGTAGCCAGTGGGCGTTTCCCCAGAGTCCTGGGGTGGCTCTCCTACCTCCCTGGGTGCAGGCCCCCAGCAGGTTGACCACGTTCAGGTGGGGCCCCAGGTGGCTCATGATCTTCAGCTCTGACATGAGGGCTTGCTTCTCACTGCTGCGGGCTGTGGCTGCAGGGAAGGGACTTAGCTGGTCACTGAGGCTTCTTAGAGGCCCCATGGGAGCTACTCAGGCTCCTCTGCCCCACCCGTGCTGCTGCAAGACCACAGGCCCTGTGCAGGGGAGTGTGCCCCACCCTGGCAGGGAAAGAGGGAGGGAGCAGGGGACAGAAGGACCCTCTCCTGGTGTGACCCCAGTGCTTGTGTCCAGCACATCAAAACCAGTCACTCTGGGAGAGGCTGAATGCTTGGGGAGATGGGGGAGGGGACAAGGGAGGTGGGACCTGTGTGAGGGAGGAGCAGGCACCCAGGACTCACATTTCAGCATCTTGACAGCCACTTTCATGGTGGCCTGGGAATGGCTCAGGCCATGAGCTGTGGCCTCCACCACCTGCCCAAAGGCCCCAGAGCCGAGGGTGCGTCCTGGGAAGAAAGGATCTCTCAGTTCCTAGACCACCAGGAACCTGTACTCCCCTTTCCCACCCAGGGGTGGGGAAGAGCCACTCTCTTAGGTCAACCTACACATCCCTCAAATCCCTCTGGACTTAATGTGCTCCCCCCAAAAGGCTACATACTGATTCCCAGTCTTTCCTGGTGTCTCCTCAAAGTCCTGCCTGCTCTCTGCTCCAGCTTGAGTCCCTAAGTGCTTTCCTCCCGCCCCATGGGAACACAGCTCCCCGCACCCCTTCAGCCTCCCTAACTAGATGAAGCACAGGCTGGCACCAGACCTGTCCTCGTGCTTCCTGCCATGAAGGGTCCTATCTCAAGTCTCAGGCTCACAGGACTCAAAGCTGGGGAGCTCCTGGGGCTCCTCTTGACCTCATTTTGCAGAGGAGGAGACTGAGGGGTGGGGAAGGCAAGATACCAGCCCCAGGTCCCATAGCTTGTCATGGCCAGGCTGAGACCAGACCCAAGAGAGGCTGGCCTCCACTTCAAGTCCCCAAACTGCCAGGTGGGGCTTCCCAGGACTGACCAAGCACAAGCTGGTCCCGTGGCAGTTCCCAGGTGGAATCGTAGGGCAGCTGCATGGGGTCCACATAGATGTACTCATGGCCATCAGAGCTCACAGACTCAATCACCTTCCATCGAATCTCATAGCGTGGCTTCTGCAGGACCAGGACCACAGCATCAGACAGGCTCTCTGCACTTGAACTCACTAGGTTCAGACTCAGAGGGCCAAGGAGGCAGTGGGCCCTGAGGCCCAAGAGGGGCAGGGCCAAACTAAGTGGCACAGCGAGTCAAGGCCTTCATGGCTCAGGGATAGGTACCCAGGGGCTCCAGTGGGAAGAGGGGGTGGCAGAGGAGCCATCGGGCTGTGACAGGCTGAGGAGCAGCTGACAGCCAGGGGCCTGGCTCACAGAACAACCTCAGCTGCCTCTCTTGGAGCCTCTGTGGCTCCTCAGGTGGGAGTGGAGGAGAAGGCAGCCTGGACATGGTCCCTCCCCACATGAAGTCATCCCTGAGGGAATCGCAGAAGGATGGAACTTTTGAATGTTGAAATTTAGTGTGCCAAATTCATAGGATTGAACTCAGAATGATAGAATCCAGGGGGACAGTAATCCTAATTTGGGAATCTTAACATTTTGGAATTATAAAGTGGTTAAATCTCAGGACATAACATTGCAATTATAGACTAGTTGAGAGGATCTGAATGCATCCATAGGAGTCTCCATGGGTGACAGGGACAAGCAGGACATGAGGTTAGAGCAGAGCAAGACCAGGGGATCCTGGATAGCTTGGATCAGGCCTGCGAGCCCAGGCTGCTGCGGGTGGAGGCAGCTCAGAGACCCTGAGCTCCATGCTGGGCCCACCTATGGCCAGATCCTGCAGCAGGGGTGGAGACATGCAAACCCAAGGTACCAACCCCTACCCCCTAGGCCAGAATGGGACTCACCTTCTGCCAGAGCATGATGAGGATGATGAGGGAGATGATTGTGAGAACCACCAAGGCCAGGATGGCTGAGATCACCACCACCTTGAAGGGGAGGGCTGGGGACAGAGACCAGAGCAGGCCATGAGCAAGGAGGGAACTGGGTAGCTGCTCTCCCCTCTCCCACTGCCACCATCAAAATCCTTTCCTACCCATTGTGCCCAGACAGAAGGCCCCACGTCCTCGATGGCCTATGATGTCAGACCCTCAGCCTCTTGCTCTAGGCCACATCTTCAACCTCTCTTATGAACCTCCACCCCCTCAGTCACCATCCCTAGTGTCTTCAGCCCAGTCAGAGTCAGTATTGCATTTCTGCCCCAGCTCTAGGCCGAGTGAAAACCCTTTTCTGGGTTCCTGTCCATTGCCTGGCTCTCCCATGAGACCAGGAGCCCCCGAGGGCCATGCCTGTGTTGGGCTGTCACAGCAGATCAGAAATCTAAGTTCCATGCCTGACCAAGTGGCCAACGGACACCATGACCTGCCACCGAGGGAGTCACAGGCTGAGCCACCATGGCCAGATAAATTCAGACTCAGCAAGGAGCCTGCTCCCCCCCCTAACCAACCACCCTTTTCCACCCCAGAGCCCATCTAGGAGTGGATAATGATGGCAGTTAATAGGGCTAGCAAGGCCCCGTGGTGCCTGTGCCTACTCTAACCCAAGACCTCAGCCTCTTCCCTCCTGGGCCATCCCATCCAGACCTTCATCTCCCCTGTCCTGCCCCACTGACTACCCAAGTGTCCTTTGGGAATTTGGTTCTTCTCCTCTGTCCCCTTCCTGCCCTTCTCTCATCCCCAGGGAGCCCAGTCCTTCCTCATATCCTCCTCAGGGTCACAGACCCACACCTCTCTTCTGCTCCCTCTCTCCAACAGTCTCACATATCCAGGGCCTGGGAAAAAAGCATGCATCCTCTAGGGAGTCCTCTGAGTAAAGAGGAGCTGCCATACAGCCATCTCAGTCCCCGGAGTTAGTATGCGTGACATCTGCCTCTGCAGGTGTACTTCTGCCTTCACTCAGAGCTGATGTGCAGGTCAGGATGTCCACACTGTCTACCCAGGTGCCCATCTGCTCAGGCACATGTCTGTGCGCGCACAGGAGGGTTGATGAGATAGGATATTTTTAAAAACCCACCCACACTCACAGGGCAGGTACAGGAGGCTGGTGTGCTCAAAAGACACGCACACATACCAGGCCACTAAGCCTGCCTCAGCGCACAAGTGTGCACCAAGCCTTATGTGCACCTCAGACCCCTGCTTGCTCTGGAGTCTGCCTACCCTAATAGCTCCACTCCTTCCCACTTCCTTCCTCTTTTTCTCCCCACCCCATACCCCAAAATTCACATGCACTCCCTGCTCCAGGCAGCCTGAATTCCTTTACTTTCTTAGAACCTGCCCTGCCTCGAGGCTCTTGCCCAGTCCCCTCCTTCTGACTGGAACACTCTGCTCACCAGGCTAACTTAAAGTCATCCCTCAGGTTTGACCCAAAGGACTTTTTCCCAGGATATTTCCTCAGTCCTACAGCTGGCCTCTTCGCCCTCCAGGCTTTCTCCCCAGGGTGGTGATCCTAAGATTGCTTATTCCCACCATCTTGTCCCCTGATCTTAGGCACTAGGAGGACATCAAAGCTGATCCTCTGACCTCAAGAAGTTGGGTCCTCATAACTATTTATTGAAGAAGAAAGGTGAATGAATGAAGTGCATTCATACAAGGGCACACATACACAAGAATGGGCAGCTAGACATGCAAAAACATCTGTGCACTGCTAGGACCGTTCACATGTGCAAGATTTGTGCATGTAGGTGTCCCTTCTAAGATATATGCACTGTAAAGCAGGCATATGTGTTCAGGTATTGTGCTCACACATTTTTCTAGAAAGGTGTGCTGCAATGACATGCTTACAGACACGCACTATGACACTTGACACATATGCACAGGAATTGCACATGTATTTTTTGCACCCATGTATGGGGTTTTATACACAAGCCTGGGAACTGGGCATGCTGTACATGGCTTATATACATATATTCTGTGGGTTTACACACAGAGACAAGCTTCATGCATGCTTGAACACATGCTTACAGACATATACTCTAGCTTTATTCGTGTATCTGGGCTTAGGCATTCTTCAGCACAAAGTTTACAAGTATACACATAGAGAGTTTGCACCTGTGTCCTGGGATCAGGCCTGCTCATGGTCAGGGCTTCCAACATGCAGTTTACATTCTCTCTGTGGAAGCAGACTGTGCTGCTCAAACCATGGTTTCTACACTCGTGTTTGTACACATGTGCCCATTATGTATTGTGTATGGTGCAAAGAAACATATTCTGATGCATTTCACATAGCTACCGTGTACCTAGGAGTATGCTGACTTGGCCTGTTGAGGGGGCATGGGCTCAGTCCCCAAGTATGGCAGGGTCAAGGTGGGGGTGAGCTGGGGAGACTCACAATGCGGCACCACGGTAACCTCCTGCACATCCTGGCCCAGTGGGTTGTGCAGCATGCAGCGCACCGACAGTGGCTGATCCACGTGGCGCAGGCGCAGCGTGCTCACCACCTCATATTCCTGCTCCTCCGCCCAGTATGTCACATTAGTCTCCAACTGGCTTTCCTCCTCGGAACTGTTCCCCAGTGGTGTGGGCGGCAGCTCGCGTGGACACCTATCCAAAGAGACCAGGATCGACTTGCAGCCTCACCTTTCTGCAGAGGTGGAGACTGAGGCCAAAAGCAGACAGCACCGCATAGTGGAGAAGTGCATGTCCAGTTCCTGTGACCAGCTGCCTGGTCCTAAGCGGGTTCCTCCAGTGATTCTCTAAACTGATCAGTAGGTGGCGCCTCCGTTCCAGAATTGAGATCCCTGGATTGCAAAATCCACTCCTCATTTTGACCACCAAACACAGTGTGTTGAGATCGAATCAGAACCTCAACTCAACCCTGCCTCTAGCCATTGAACCACCATGAGCCCTAGTCAGAGGAACAGAACATCTACTGGGTAGGTAAGGTCTTTCTGGGCACAGCCCTCCACTGTACTGGGCAGAGGATAGCCCAGGTGTCAAGGTAAAAAAGAGACAATTTAGATCATGCAGAGCATCTCCAAGGAGGTGATGGAATGGTCTTCTAGGGTGTGGCTCTAGTCTGGAGCAATGTGAAAGAGGAAAGGGCAGACTAGTGAGTTCCACTGGGTCCTTCTAGCCTGCTGGGGTACCCTAGAACACTAAGGTCCAGGATCTGCTCACCTTTTGAGGTCTCTGCAGGTAGACCAGGTGATATTTGGCTGGGGCATGCCTCGGCCACGACAGCGGACTGTCTGCTCCCCGTTGGCAGGGTGACTCTCGCTCAGCTCCAGCACACGGACAGGGACTGCATGGGGGAAGGTCCAGGATCAGGAGAAAGGTGGGAGGTGAAAATAGACCTCAGGGAGACCTGGCCCAGAGCCTCCCTCAGGGTGAGGGCTGCAGACCTCAGGTGAACACTAAAGACCAGGAATCCCTTGGGGGAAGCTGATGGATTTCCCTCTGGGCTACTTCAAAGGGAAAGTCTCAGTAGGGGGCTAGTCTGTCCTTAACACCTCTCTGAGACTTGCTCACCTTCATTTTAACAAAGAGAGAACAGGCCTCAAGCTCAGAGCCCTGGGCAGCCCAATACATGAAACTGGATTGAATAACATTTGTCTTGTTTTCTTGGAGTTGATTTTAGTGGCTGCCTGATATTTATGACATGTGATGCTGATTTTCCATCTACAATTGAGAGGTTCAATTTTGCCTTTCAAAATATGTTTATTTTTAGAAAGCTAATTGACAAAACATGAAGTCATTCCCATGGCATTCCTACACTCAAGTCCCTGCAATGACTTTTCATTTAGGTCACAGTAAGAGTCAAAGTTGTACCAGACCCACAGGCACCTACACATCTGCCCTCTCCTCGCCCCTACCCTATCTCTGCTCTGACCTCATCCCCTGCCACTCTTCCTCTCTCCCTCTTCTGGCCACAGGACTTTCTGGCATTGTTCTGGCCCTTGCACTGCCAGGGGTGCCATCTTCCCAAATATCCACTTGGCTAATGCCCTCGTCTTCTTCAAGTCTTCACACAAATGTCACTTCCTCAATCCAGCCGAAGCAAATAAGGTCAATACTGATTACAATATTTAAAAGTGTACCTCACAAGCCCCCTGTGCACTGCTCTCTTAATCTTCCCTACCCTTCTTTTTTTCCCTTTCCAATAGCGCCTATTACCTTCTCATCTGTGTTATTTGCTGGGATTTCATGTCCTTCTGTTACATGTTTGTCTTCCCCCAAAGGCAAGGCCTTAAGAACTTCCAATAGAGAAGTATATTGTAATTGCTTAATAAATATCTACTGGATTAGTGAGTATCATATAAATGGACTATGAGAAGGAAAAATCATGCCATTGGGACATGAATGCCCAAGGTTTTGGAAAACACCAGTCTAGCCTGATGGCCTCCCTTTACAGTTGGGGAAAATGAGGTCCAAAGAAGGGACACAGCAGGTCAATGGTCATGAACTCAGCTTACTTAGTTCCAGATCCCTCTCCAGCCCCTCCTATGGGTGGGAGGACAGTACAGGAAGAGGAAGTGGGGACAGGGAAGAAGGGAAGAGGGGACTGAGGTGGCCCTCACCATTGACCTGCAGCTTGAAGGAAAGCTGGGCCTCAGCATCCTCATGGAAGGCCCGCATGGTATAGTAGCCAGCCTCTGCCACCTTCACTCGCACCAGTGTCAGTTCCGATACATACCTAGGAAATCATACAGGCCAGGAAACCCACTCACTGTAAGAGCTGGAAGAACTCCCCCACCTCCCACCTTCTTTATACAGACAGGGAAAACAAAGCCCAGAGAGGAGAGGGACTTGCCAAGATCACACAGTGAGAGCCAGGACTCAAACCTAGTCTCCTGAGTCCCCAGTTATAAGCAGTTCCACTAAACCAAGAAGGGGACAGAAGGATTGGGAGGTTGGGGGGGGGGGTGCATGATTCCTCCCCCTCCACAGGAGGGACCTAACATGTTTTATTCTAATTTATCGTTTCTCTGTTAATCTCCAGCCTTGGGGACATCACAGGTGGCAGTGAGTGGCCCTCCTGGCACTGTCTTCCCGGTAATCCTGTTTCTGTTTCCCCCGCTGACTCAGAGACCCTGGGTATGCTGAAATTCTGCCCCAGTCCCTGCAGTATCCCAGTGTCTGGCACCAATCCTGGCATGCAGGAGACTCTCCGGAAAGGTGGACCTAGGTTTGTCGTGGGTCTGTGGGCTGCTTGGTAGCTGCAAAACTTCAAAAAATGGAGTGGGTAGCAGCTGCTCACCGGGTCTCAGACACATTGCGCGTGGACAGGGCGATCTCGCCGGCGCTGGAATCGCCCAGGGTGCGGTTGTCCTTGAACCACAGCACAGTAGGTGGCGGGTAGGCTTCGAACACCACTTGTAGTGTCCGACTCCTGTGCAGCTCAGCAATTTGTATAGCGCCCAGGTCTCGCAGAAGCCGCACGTAGCCGCTCTCTGCAAGGTACAGCTGTCAGGGGCCGACCCTGGGGGCGGGGCTATTCCCAGGCACCAATGGGGTTGCACGTCCCAGGGGCGGAGCTCCTGGAGGCGGGGCATCAGCTGAACTGTAAAGGAACCTAGACTTCTGGGGCAGAGGCTTCAGGCTTTAGGAAGTCATTCAATGAAGGACTAGGGTTGAAGTTGGGGCTGGGGACGAATTTGGCTCTGATATTAGTGTTGGAGCCAGTTTTGAGGTTGAGACTGCAGTTGTAGTTCTCTTGTTCGGTTTGGTTTTGTAACTGAGGTACATTGGAGTCTCAAACCAGGGCCAAGGTTGAATTTGCAGATGGGCCTGCCCAGGCCTGTGATGCGTTTGGGATTAGAGATCAGATTGAGGCTAGGGTTCTGGCTAAGCAGAAAGTCTACTTTTAGATTAGGATTGAATCAAGCTGACACTGCACTTTGGTTTGGATTTAACCCCAGAATTGGGGCTTTGACTGGCACAGAGTCTAGTGCTGAACTGGAAAATGGTTGATTGTACCCTAGGGCTGTGGGTCCAGTTCAGACAGGGGTTAGAAACTGATTCCAAGGCACCCACCGACCACAGTGACATTGATGGCCTTTTCATCTCGATGGTCATTCACACTCTCTGACACATTGCAGATGTAGGTCCCTGAGTCATCCAGCTCAGCATTGGGGATGTGCAGGATGGAGCGAATGTGGGAGGGCACATCAAAGAGGAAATCTGTCACTGGCTCTACGAGGCGCCCACTCTGCAGGAACAAGTGGGGCAGGTTCTCTAAATAAGCAGGGGTCCATGAGAAGTCAGTCTGCAGGCTGAGCTATCCATCCTTGCCTGGTCCCTCCCCCAACCGAGGCCCAGCATTACCTCCATGCGGGGGTAGGTCCACTCAAAATTGACCACCTCATTCCCCGTCACAATGCACATGATGGTAATGTTCTCACCCTGGCGAACCACAGTCTGCACTGCATTCACTGAGACATTGATGGAGGAAACTGGAGGAAAGAGGGGGGCTTAGGGCTGGGGAAATCACACCAGCCACCAGTACTTCAACTTGGGTATGGGGTAGGGGTATACAGAGTGAAGCATTGACTGATGGAAAATTCATCCATTAAAAAAAATATTTATTGAATACCTACTATATGCCAAATATTTATTTTAGGCACTGGGGCTACAACAATGAATACAACAGACAAAACCTTTGTCCTGGTGGCGCTTACACTCTAGAAGGGGTAACAGTCTAGAAATTAAAGTATCCTCTGGTGATCTAAGTAGAGGAGAAATTTACTGAACACTCCTATTGTGCCCTGTAACTTCTATTTTTTGTTTTATTTAACTTTCACAATAATCCCATAATGTGGGCAATAATTATCACCCTCTTTTATGAAGGAAGAAGCAGGTTCAAAGGGATTATGGGCCTTGTGCAAAGTCATTCAGATGGGAAGTGGCTGAGCTTGGATTCCAACTCAGTTGGCTCCAAAGCCTATGCCTTTGCCCATCTGATTACACAGCCCAGCGTGCCACTGATGTGTCCCCTGACTGTGGGAAAACTTCATCCTCAATAGGAGCCTCAGTTTCTTCATCTGTAAAATAGGAGAAACACTACCTCCCTTCAAAGGTTATAGTGAAAACAAATGAAAAATAGTTATATACTTTGCAAACTGTAAAGGGCTATTCCTCTGTGAAGGGTTATACTTGCCTCTGCTGACAATCAAGCCAAAAAGGGGACTCACCCTGGAGGCTGTAGACGTAATAGGCATCGGAATCCACTTCCCTCTCCCCAATGGTGGTTCGGCAGATGTAGGTCTTGTCCTCAAAGGTACCAGAGAAGCCTCGTTGGTGGTCATAAGGGATAGGCAGCGGGATGTCCTCTTTCTTCTCATGCAGTGTCACCACTAGCTGGGGGTCTGTCACTCGGCATGGAATTGTGGTCTCAGTTATTTCCGTGAGAAAGATGAATAGGTCCTCCGGCTCCATAGGGAGGAAGCCCATGGTGGGATCTACAAGGAGTGGAGCCAAGAATGAGTGAGGGTCAGGGGACCTGGGTGTCTGGCGATCCCATGAATTGCTGTATGACTTTGAGTAAATCTCTTCCACTCTTTGGCCCTCAGTTTCCCCAATACAGGAGAAGGATGGCACTATGGTTTAAATGTTGGTCTGCTCCAAAATTCATTGAAATTCCATTGCCATTTTAACCCCAAGAGGGCTAAATGGTTGAGGTTGATGCCACTAAAAAAGGGTAAGTTTGCCAGCCATGGTGGCACATGCCTGTAATCCAGTGACTTGGGAGGTGAGGCAGGTGGATTGAAAGTTCGAGGCCAATCTCAATAATTTAGCAAGACCCTCAGCAACTTGGCGAGACCCTGTCTCAAAATAAAAAATAAAAAGGGCTGGGAATGTGTCTCAATGGTTAAGCATCCCTGGGTTCAATCCCTCATACCAAATAAAAGGTAGGGGGGCAAGTTCAGTGCCCTCTGGCTCTCTCTTGCCCTTCTGCATTTTTTGATGAGATTATATAAAAGAAGTCCTTGCCAGATGCTGATTCCCTTAATATTGAATTTCCCAGCTTCCAAAATTGTTAGCCAGTACATTTATGTTCATTATAAATTACCCAATCTCAGGTACTATTTTACAGCAGCAAAAACATAGTAGGCATAAGAGACAGATGCTCAGAGGCCATTCCAGCTCTAACATTTGATATTGACAGTACCAGGGTAAGAAAGCAGACAACCCACAAGTTGAAGTATGGCTGGTACCTGGAGCTTGGAGAACAGGGAAGATGAGACATGGGGGCCAAGGGGGATCAGACAGCAACCAGCTAAGAATACAGAGTTCTTGGGAGGCAGTAATGGGGTTGGCTGGCAAGGAGCAGACTGATATTCAGACCAATGTGTGGAAATGAACACCCTGCTGAACTAGAGTTCATGATTCGTCTGCATTTCTAGAATGGCTGCATTTCATGGTGCCAGTCAAGCAATCTCTTGAACTTCCCCTGATATCTTTAGTAAGTGAGTGGCCATGCAGGTGGGAACCCTTACCTGGCACAAAGATGTAGAGCCGCTTCTGCTCACTGGGCTCCCGCCCAAGGGAGCTGTTGTAGGTACAAAAGTACTCTCCTGTGTCACCTCCAGTGACATTGGCCAGGGTTAGCATGCTGGAGAAGGTGCCCTCCTGGGTCCTGGACACTTTCTGCTGAGGCACCTGAGACAGCCGTTCCCACACCACTGGAGCTGAACCCAGGCAGGTCAGAACAAAGGTACTGGAGAGATTAAGTACAAGCTCTGGCCCTGGGGGCATGATGGTCAGGCCCTGGGAGGTCTGTGGACCTAGCAGCAATAGCATGGGCAGCAACAGCAACCGGCCTGGAGAGAAGACATCAGATGTCAAGGCACAGGGGCCTCAGCAAGCCCCCTTGGGCTGCCCAGGGGCATGTGTGCACAGCCCCCAAGTCCATGAAGAACACATCTCCATTTCCAACACAGACTGGAACCCTCTGCCCATGGTTCTAGAGCCTGCTCACCCAACGCTAGGCCCCCAGGTACTCCTGGCCTTTGTCTCAGTCCCTTTAAACCCAGCCTCTGAGTTCTCCAGCAGTACTACATTCAGGCAGCGGGCAGGGAAGGAGTCAGGAAATCCTTGGGAAGCAATTCCCAGGCCTCCAGTTCCTGCATTGTTTCCCAGGTCACTTTCTGGGCCTCTTCCCCCTGCTGCCCTCAGCTACCTAGGTTCCCATGAAGCCCAGAGGTGGCCCTGCTTGGAAGAAGTTGAGCAGGAGGTACTCAGGTAAATTAGAGTGAAGTTGGGGGCTGCGAAGGGCTGGGATGGGGGGTGTGTGCCTGTGTCCAGCAATTGGTTCTCCCACCCCCACCCTTGCCCCATGACATCTTCTAGGGAAGGATTTTGTAAGCCACACTCCCATGCTTCCTGGGGATGAAAATCCAGAGGGGGCCCAGATAGGTGGGCAGTCAGGCAGCCAGTCCCTCTAACAGTCACCGGACCCACCCCTGGAGAGCTGAAGGCACATATCCAGCCAGACTGAGGAGAAATGGGAAGCCAGGGTGACTGCTAAAGGGTGAGGGGTGTATGGAGGGCTAAGGAAAGAATCTGATGTGATCATTTTGGACAGAAGGGGTTCACTGAAGGTCTCGGAGCTGCGGGTGGGTGGCTGAGGAGGCATCCACACAGACCTCAGGAAATGTAGGAAATCCAGCTCAAGAGCACTGCAGCTTTTCTGGACTCGTGTCCTTATGCTAGCACACAGCCTCCCAAGGTAGGGCCTTTCTGGGACCCCTGCCCCTGCCCCAGCCTACTCACCTCTGAGGACCAGAGCTGGCATCACACCTGGAAGCTGCATGATGTCCTGTAGAATGAAACAGGAGTCAGGACCCAGAGTGGGCAGAGGCGGTGCCAGGGCCCCTCTGGTTCCTACAGAGTACACCCTCGCCTGAGCTCTCCATGTCCGTGGGGCTGAAGTCAAAAGCCACCTGTCCCAAGTCTGAGAGGGCACTCATGACCACAGGCCCTATCCCTTTTTTTCTGACCTTCGCGTGGCCTTGGCTGGGTCCTACGCCTCTCTGGGCCTTAGTTTCCCTGCATGACATTGGGGGTGGGGAGGTTGAGCTGGATAGTATCCAGGGACCCGCCATCTCTGACAACCCGTCCTCTGAGTGACAGTTCCAATACCAGGCTCTTATCTGCCAGGACAAATATTTGGGAAAGTGTGATGAAAGGCCTGGAGGAGAAGGAGGGGGGAAGCCAGAACCCAGAGAACTCCCACAGCTCCACAAGCACAACAGGAAATGGAGGCGGCTGTGGGAAGGGAAGCAGGGGAGTCAGGGCTGTGGAATGTGGGGGGTGGGCCTGGCCCCCTCTACTCAGCCCGCAGCAGCACAGGGAGGCCCAGGGGAGAAGGGCCAGGGGCCAGCCCCAGAAGAGGCCCCATGGAAATTAGCAGGCTTCGAAGGTGTTTGCAGACCCCTGAAGCCAAGCTCCCCACCTCCACATCCGGTGTCCAAATGGGGAAACCAAGGCTCTGAGAAGGAAAGAAGTTTGCCCAAGATTCCACAGAAGGTCCTGTCCAAGAGGGAGACAGAGAGCTGGAAGAAACAGAGAGACAAAGACATGGGAGAGAGAGCAGGAGATGCAGAGGAACAGCCTGCACTAGAGCCTGGGGACAGAAGCTAGGGGACAGAAGCTAGGCCCAGAGAGACAATTGAGGTTGGGTGGAACTTTCTCGGTCCCTTCCTTTAGCAGCCTGTCATACCTGGGATTCCAAATAGTCACCAATAGCCAGGTAGGCATGCTTCTGTCTGCAGCCTCGACAGGAAGTAGGCCAGAGGTAGATGGGAGTCACAGAGCAAGAAATGTGGGAAGGGACCATGTGATAAAGCAACAAGGCGCCTCCTGATGCTGTGAGGCTGCAGACTTACTGAGTGGCTGCCCGCTCTGGCCACGCCCAACCTGCCCCCACCTCACCATCTCAGGCTTTCTAGTTTCCAGTCCAGAGCTGGGGAGAAGGGTTTGAGCCCCCCTCAGCACTGCCCCTTGAGCCATGGCTATCTCTTTGGGCTGAGTCTCCAGCTCTCAAAGTGGAATGAAGGCAAGTGTACCACCTACCAGTGCTGCAGGCACAGTTTAAGGGAGATACAGAGACCATGGCCTCAGCTGTGGACCCCAGTCTCAATTTTCCCAAGAGCAAATCAGTGTTTCTCCTCCTCTTCCCCTCCCTTCAGAGAAGCTTGCCTGAGTCCCCTCTTGTCTTCCTCTCCCCTCTCTAAATTGCTCCAGGTCAAAGCCCAGCCCTCCTGATATCCCTCTGCAGCGCCCCCATGCCCACCCCTCCTGTGCCAGCCCTTCAGCTGGACACCAGGCCTCTTTGGGCAGGAAAGAGCAGTGCCCAGGCAGAGCAACAGCCCCCACAGGGGCCCATCTGCCCCTCAGGGGTACCCCCTGGTTCCCCCTTCCTGCCAGAGATCTGGGCCAAAGAAAATCATTAGCAGCCCAGGTTGGGGGAGGGGGTCATCTCAGCCTCCCTGCCCCTCCTCTCCCAGCCTCCCTGGCTGGCCACACTGTTTATTATTCTAAAGGAGGAATTTGGCCGGTTGGCCAGGAGATGGGAGGTCACTGAAAGGGGGCTGGCCTGGTTCTAGAAGGCTGGGTTGGCCGTGTGGGCTGGGACCTCATGGCATGCAGCCCCTGACTCTGCTCTGATATGGCACTCTCTTCTCTCCCCTCAGGCCCTCTCCTGCTGGGCCTGGGGCTAGGCGTGGCTTAGAGTCTCTGAGACTAAGCTAGGAGAGACTCTTCTTGAATAGGCAGCAGAGGCCCAGAGAGGCACAGAATCATGACCTAGTCACAGAGCAAAAAGAGGATCCAGGCTGTGGGAAGAGGATAGGGAGGAAGAGATGAGCTCAGGGAAAGTGGAGATGCTTTGGGAGAATGTAGACACTTCAGGAGTCGTGGACTGGTTGGACTCTATGAAAGGAGCATTTTGGCTCACCTCACAAGATTTGAAACTTTGTAAGACTGAGCTGGCCCCCAGCCTTCTCTGGGATGTTTCCCTGTTTGTACACGGAGAAGTTTGGATAGATCAGCTCAAAGAGCTGTCCCTATTTTAAGCCTTGCCTTTTTGACTGGTCAAAGAGAAGGTTCTGGTCACCATTATTCTCAAGAAAGTGGGGCTGGTCAGAAGGGAGGGCTACACTCCTAAGGACAGAGTCACATGAGAATCGATAAACCCATCTCACTCCGTTTGCATCGGATGACTCTGACCATTTGGTCACTGACTTGCTGTGTGGACTTTGACAAGTTGTTTCCTTCTCTGGGCCTCAGTGTTCCCATCTATACAATTAGGATTTACACACAGTCTTTCAGTGGACTTCTAGCCAGATGAATTGGGGATATGGAACCTTGCAGTGGCCTGAGGAAAGACACAGGGGCAGCGAGCTAGAGATCCAGGATGCACCAGAATGGGGATCAGGGTATCCAGACATGACCGTGGGCCATTGGAATGATTCTGGACTCTGCCAGTTGTCTACTCAATGCCTGTGGACCATTTGTGCTTTCCAGAGGCTGCTGTGGTCTTAGGACAGGCAGCTGACTTGGGGTGGCATTTTGCCTATGACAACTTCCCTTCAGAGAAAGGGGCTCTGCTCCAGGTAAGAGCCACATAGGACATTTTCAGTCCAGCCTTCCCTCCTACAAACACTAGAACAGCACAGCCATCGCCATCGGGAGCGGGCACCCAGCAGCACCACCACCACCTACCACACTGTCCTGCTGGGAGTTCCCTGGAGCAGAAAGGGGCAGGGTCCTTAAGCAAACACTGTGCCCAGAGAGATGTGCTGTGCGCCAGGAAGCCCTAAGGATTCCTCTATGCAAGGTTGGAGAGACACAGGTCCAAAGATAGGGTCACCGCCCAGCTCCTCAGTGAAATAGAGGTCCCTTAGGGGAATGGACTGAGGGTCCCAAGTCCAGGACAGCACGTTCAGGGAATCAGTGGCAGCCCCAGCCTTCCCTCCTCCAAGCGCACACAACTCCCCACCCCTTTCCCACCGCCTTAATCTAAATAAATCCAGTCCATCTTGGCCACATCCGCCAGCAGCGGCTTCCCTCCCTCGGGGTCCTGAGGCTCCCACGACATAAGCAGGCAGGGGAGGGGGCCCCACACGGGGTGAGCACATGCACAGAGCACAGATGGCTGCCTACGCACTCGCTCACACGCTCCTAAAACACATGCAGGCGCTCACCATGTGCATGCCCGTACAAAACGCATGTCACAGGGTTCCTGCCACAGCACTGACTGCTGCCTGTGTGCTCTCCAACATGCCCACTGGAGATGCACCATGCCTAACAGATCACCCATGTACCCAGCATACGTGACAGTGCAGAACTACGTGCACGTGGGTCCCAAGCACCCCTGAAATCACATCCATACAGATAAGCCAGAAAGCCCCGGATGTTGTGCAGTGCTGAGCCCTTGACATATATAGACTCATTTAATCCTCAGTCAACTCTGAGATAGAGACAGTGCTCATTTCCATGTTAAAGGTGAAGAAACTGAGGCAGAGAAAAACCTTAGAAATTTGTCTAGGAATCCAGACCCAAGGAGGGTAGAGCGAAAATGGAACTGTGTCTCCGTGCTCCATGCCACGCCACCGTGCTGCTTCTGTGATCACGGCGCTTGTCTGGTTGGGGCTGGGTAGAGAGTGGGTGGGCACTGGTGGGAACAGATGGAGTGGGGAGGGATTTCGCTGAGAATCAGCAGGACTTTGGTTGATGTTGTGGAGCTGGAGAGATAAGTTCCTGAGGGGAGCCTGCATCCCTGTTTCTGGTTTGAAATACTCGGGGACAGGAGTGTGTGTGTGTGTGTGTGCTGGGGAGATGATGCCATTTTCTGAGACGGGAATGAGACCAAAGAGCAGGATTGAGAGTTGTCACTGAGCTGGTTGAGAATGTGGAGGATCCTGTCGGCACTGGGTGGACAGAGGAACGCTCAGCCTGAAGGCAGAGATCAGACCAAGAGAAAGCCCGGCTGCAGGGGAGGGGGCGCTTGCTTGGGGCAGGCAGACTCAGGCCAGGGATGCTCTGAATAAGCAAGATGCCCGAGGGAGGAGGAGGCCTGGCCATGGGTCATGGTGTCAGAGTCTTGGAATGTCAGGACTCCACAGCTCTCAGAGATCATCTATCTGATCCAAACCCCTTCCCGGGCCCTGTTGTCCTGCTGGAGATACTGAGGCTAGTGGATCAAGGACCTGGGGTCAGACTCTGGCTGCTGCCCTTCCCTCTGAGTAGTACTATTACTCAGGAGTGTCCCCGCAGTATCCCAGCCAGACAGAGATTGGTGACAGAGACTCAGAGAAGGTTGCCAGCTAAGTTTCCAGTAGAAGCAGGACACTGATTCCAGTCTCCTGACCAGGAGCCTTGTCCTCTCTCCTCCACACCACTTCACAGCCCCCAGGACAAACTACAGGGTGGGAGTATGGGAACCTGGGTTCTTGTCCCAGTTCTGTTGTCACCTGTGCTACAGTCCTGCCCCTCCCTGGGCCTCAGTTTCCCCATCTGTACAACTTTGGGGGCTGACTCTTGCAACTCTAAGGACCCCGCTCTGGAAGGCAGCTGTGTGCAGTGGGGAGGAGGAGGGGGTGCTGGGGAGGGGCCCCAGCCGGGATGTCATGACTCAGCTCAGAGAAGGCAGCCAGTCTTAGGCCTGGGAGCGTGTGGGGGCAAGAGGCATCCAGAGCCAGGGAGTGAGTCCTCTGCCAGCAGCTGAAGAAGACGAGGGTGACAGCAGCACAGCCTGGACTTGGCAGAAAGTCTGGCCCATGTGGCCTTCCCCAAAGGGCTGAGATGTGGGTGTGTTCTTGCAGTATGGGTCAGCGAGCCCCATCCTGGGAGGCAGGGAGGATGGCGGGGTCCGGAGCATGGGGACATAATTACAAGTGTCAGGGAGAAACCTGGTAAGAAAGGGAGGCTCCCAACTGCCTTCCTCCATCCTGTGCTTCTCTTCTATCTGTTGAAGACGGCTCAGCGAGCCACCCCTACACAGTGAGTCTCCCCAAGCCTCAGGACCACACCGAGGGCCAGAGTGAGTGAGCAACCGGGCTCAAACCACAGTTACGGGGGCTGACCCCCAAGTGCAACTCTAGGCCATGCTGCTTTTAGACCCGGGGCCTTCCTAACGACACCCCTGAACAAAACAGCACAAATGACCAAGTTGGGACTTTCATGGGCTCTAGCTGTGGACCTCCCCGTAGATAGAAGCACAGGGTGGGTTTCATGGACCCCCATTTTGATTCCCCCAGCACAGACCTGGCTATTCTGAGCACTCCTTGCTGGCCCCTCACTTCCAACCTGCCCGCACCCACCTGTCCTCACACTCCAGCCAGAGGAACACTCTCGCTCCCTAGACCCTCTGCGGCTCTAGGGTAAAGACCTGCTTCATAGCCCCTCCTGTAGGAGCCATCAGGCCCTGGCACTGCCATAGTCTGTCATGACCAAAAGAAGGCGGTGCCCTCCCAGCTCCCCAGGGCCCAAGTCACTCATTCTGTGCTCCTCTCCTGGGAGGCCTCCCCAGGGACACAGTGGAAAGAAATGA